GCCTACAGTTCAAGAGATCTCTAACAAGGGTGGAAGTCAGTCAAGCTTCCGCTGTGAGAGCTTGGCATTTTCCCTGGTGCTGCCTAACTCCTACCCAGTAAAGGTTCAATAGTTTATGCATATGAAAGCAAGACAAAAATGTACTGAGAATATTTTATACAGCCACTGATCTTTTTTTCTTCCCCTCTTTCAGCAGCAAAAGAGATGATGGGGAGCTAACCTGCTATAGGGCAAGTGTCCCCCCTTGGCCTGGTCCCACTGTCATCCACACTCGGGCTGACGGGTGGAGCACGCACACGAGTTTCCTTCCCATGGAAACTAGTGAACTGGAGAAAGGGACGACAGATTGATACATACCTGGATTTAAACCTGCAGTGGAGTCAAGGTACAACCAGAAATTCCACTGCACAGTCTTAGTTTCCTCTTACCTTAAGGTTTAAATTCAGTCTTTAAAATAATAATAAAAAACCCCCAAACCAGTCTCTTCTCATGTCTCTACTTCTATTAGCAAATCCCAAAGGAGAGAGGAAAAAAGAAAGGAAAAAAGAAGAGAGATCTGCAGAAAGTGATATCTCCCTATTATTTTATACTATATTTATTTATGCCAAACCCCATGCAATTACACATATATATATAGAGATATATGCACATAAATATTTTATACATATGTAAATGTAAATGAACACATTATTCCATGGTTCACCATTATCCTGACTGATAGTGTCAGAGCCACAGACCAGGAAAGGCAATATTCCTAGCTAAATGTAATAGGCCAAGGTTTCTGAAATATTCCATTTTCTGTCCTAGCCCTTCCTGTTCCCTTTATTCCCAAGAAAAAGCTACTACAAGAAAGACGGACTTAAGTCAACGCTACCAGCTGCCTGACCTGCTGAGAACATAGTTGTACAAACAGATGTGGGAGTTTCTTGGTTTAATCAGGCCTTAAGAGAAAGGTCTATACTGTAGAAATCTTTCACGCCTTACCTGGGTTTAATTAGGAGTTTTAATATCCACCAGCTTAAGGGCTAAATGAAAAGGCTGTTACTAAGAAGATATTAGGTAGTGCTTTTACAAATCAGAATTGCTACCCAAAACATATAAACAAGAATTATTAAGGGCCACAGACAATTTAATCACAGGCGACTTGTTTTCGTTCTGACTCATACAAGTACCAGTCCTGAGCACGGAACTGGGTTACCATGGGCTGAGCATCAGATCTGATCCCCAAATCTCCTGTGCGCATAAAAGCTTTTCATAGCACAAGATAAGCAATAGATGGGGAGTGGCAGCTTCCAGAGAAACCCCTCTTCATTTTCTAAAAATGTTTAGTCTCCAGGAGAAGCTAGAGTGGACACTGGCATCATTTACTTCAAAGACACTGAGTTTTGTCATCTTCCTTATTTTCCAGTGCCTTCCAGGCCTTCTCCAGCAGACCAGTTCTCAAAGAGGGATGCAGACCATGGTTTCTTTAGACACTCCTAAAATGTAACTGGCAACTGACTTTATCTTTTGAACTTGCATAATGAGTTCTTGGTGGTTAAGTGAGACTGCATGAACAGGTGAGTGTAGACAAAACACAGGGCAACATTATTTTTTTAAATATTATGAATGCTATTTTCCTGAAAGAGGAACAGGAGTAGTCTAATACAAGAACTGCATTGACTAAAGAGAACTTTCTGAAAATACACATGATCTGTCATTGTAGGTGTTCTGTTTCTTTTCACCTGAACATAAAAACTGGCATTACATTCCCTGTTTATGACCTCCCCGCCAGAGAAGAACAAAACAGATAAAGCACAAGTGCAGGAGAACAATTAGTTTGCTTTGATTACATAAAACTGCTTGTTCAGCTTTGCAAGAAAGTGATGGATTATCTTTTTCTTTTTTTTTTTAACACCTGTCATAGGAGAACGGCTATTCCTTCAATTTGTTTTTCAGATTCGAATTCCTTCCCCAAAGGGGTTATGAACTACTCTACAGTGATTTGTAGCTTCAGGTACACCGTGAGTTTCCCTTTTAAGTTTATCTTTCACACAGCCTTTAAAAAGCACTATGCACCATTTCAGGTTACTACTTCCATGTATTGCATTCATATTCTATTTCTAAGAAATAGTTCTGCTAAAACTAGAGAGAAAAGGGATGACTTTGCCACTAAAATGAAATATTTTTACTTTAGTACTGGGTAGTTCAAGTCTAGAAAAGAACTGGGCAAATATTGCCTGAATATGTTAATAAATACTCGTTTGAGGTGAACCAGTGATTCTAGCAAATAGTTTTCTGTGCTGTTTCAAACACGTTCTTTGTAAAAGGAAGAGCCTGAATTGGAAGCAGGCTCAGCGAGCGTCTGCTGGTAGGAAGGACACTGTCGTCCAGCTTCCTTCCAAGTGTCCTGATCGTCCAGTCAAGCACAGATAATGCCATTTGTCTGGGGCTGCTCCATGGATGACAAACAGCAGATTGCAGGTGATTCAACACAAGTCAACTCCTCAGACGTGTTCTGTAAGCACATTGCTACCGACCACCCTCGATTTCAAAAACTTCCAAATAATTTACAGAATAAGGGGCAACATTAATTATTCTGCATGAGTCACTCAGCAAGCTCAGACTCCCAAAGGACCTCAGCTTGGCAGGACACCAATATACGAACCATCTGGCCTGACACTGTACGTCTTGGAGCTGGTTTCTATAAATGACTCTGTTTATAGAACTTGAAGGACCTTGTTTGATGGTGCAATGTATCATCTAATCTCCCTGTACATCAATTAGCTCATAATTATTTGGCATAATCTGACTATCACTTCTTATTTGCCCATTCAGTAGCGGGAAAAAATGGAGTAGGACAGAGACTGAAAAAAGAAAGCCTTTAGCTGACCCACCATTTCCAATGCTGTTCATGCAGTACTCCAAACGTTGCTCTTCAATTATTAACATTCCTCCACTGTAGTGTCTAAATCTTGCATTTTTACTTAAGAGCAATGAAAAGCAGCTGAAACAGCTGCCCAAATGACAACTGTGGTATCTGCACATATTTCAACAATGCTTTGTAGTAGAGAGAACGGGTGTCTTAAAAAATTAAAACCACAAGGGGTAGAGGATTTTAACAGAACTTTGTGACTTGTGAAGCAAAGCTACAGAGTGCCAGCCCAGAATCCATTTGCCTGAAGAATTGCTTGAGTCCATTTTGCATTACAGTGCTTCCGTGCAGGTAATATGCTTGCAAGTGTCTGTTCCCCCATCTACACCTGTGTGTGTCTGCAGCCCCTGTTCAGGATACTACTAATTCCAGCAGGAGGCAGAATGGGGCCAAATAACCTAATTAGCTTAAAATGAAGTCTGAAGTTTAAAATGAACCACCCTTGTCTTTGATAGAAAGGGACTGGACTGAGAAAGTCTTAATTTCATGGTAAGTTACTATGGTCCCAATCACAAAGTAGCTAGCTATGCTAACAAAGACTATCTTATCTTCAGAGGGTATTATTATTAATACCCTTATTATTAGCACACTTTATGCATTACAATCTGACCTCCAGCCTGAACTACAAGCTACTGTCAGCAAGATAAAGCTCAAAACCCACTTCTCATAAGTGCTAATTCTTAAAGCATGATTTTATCAATATAAAAATCACCATGTTAAATATTTACAAGCGTTTTTCCACATAAAAATATCAACATGTAACAAGGCAGCTGGTGGCTGGGTATCAGGTATATCTGTCTTCAGAAGTGCTGCCCAGGCATTAAGAAGAAGAGGAAGACACATGAGAGCAGAAGCCCGGATTTTGGAACCTCACTGGCACCTCCTCTGCTCAGGCAGTGCTCCAAACCACCATTTCCAGGGGCTGTTTCCTTGGGCACCTGGTGTGTATTTTCTAAAGATCTGTTGGATGAAGACCAATTTGGTTACTGCTGTAAGCAATTGCACTGCTACTGTACCGAGCAAATGAAGATGAGTTTCCCACAGTAAAGTGTGAGTGTGTGCATTAATATTCCTTCAGAACCATTTTGTTTCTGGCTCCTGAAGAGCAGCATCAAACAAAGTAGGGATGTACTATGAACCAACCAGAGTAATCAATGGAGACAGAGGATGGCACAGGAACAGTCCATGTGTTAAAAATTCCCCTTTCTAATAAAAATGAAGATAGCTGGGAGATTTGAATAATGGAGGTTTTCCAAATGCATTAACATTGGTGGGGTCCCAATATAAATGGCAGTGCAGTGTTTTGGGGAATTTACAACCACGCTCAGTTAAACTCCCCAGAGTCAATCTGCGTTAGTGCACGCATGCACCAGCACAGAGACATTCTGCCGTCCTCCCTCCACAGCCTGGATCCAGCAAAGGTCTGGGCAGCCCAGACTGCATCTATTTCTGCGCCAGACCAAGAGGAAGCCCTGCCACCACTGCGCCAGCGCAGTGGCCCAGCACTGCATTCCCTTCTCCCTGTGCTAGGTGCAGGGCTCGGTGGCACAGGGTGCAGTCCAAATTATCCATCCCTTGGACCCAGCTGTTACTGTACTCACGATGCCCAAGCGGTCACCCGAAGAAAGTGGTTGGGAACACGTCCAGTAAAACTAGTTAAGCTGCAATTTGAATAAGGAGCTTAAAAATAACAACTGAAGGATGCTATTTTACAGCTACCAGCACCTACAGGAATATATTGAGTACCCTGATGTAGGTCAGCAGGATAACAACAAAAAAACCCAACACAACCCC